CCCCAAAACCCCAAAACCCCAAAACCCCAAAACCCCAAGGGATCAATCAATAAGACATAGGGAGAATTCGGATAATTAGATTGATCATCATCATAATCATTATTATTCTAGAATTTTAAGTGCACTCGCTAGAAGATTAGGGCTGCAGTAATCTTATAACTTGCTGATGAACCCTAATACAATTTGATCTATGTTGCTGAGCTCTTGATCCTAGCTGTTCTAAAGATTCTTAACTAATTAAAGTGTCTAGATAGATCTGTAGTAAATGAATAACTCATAATCAGCCTTTTTAATATTGTCTCTTGTATATTAAAGTGTCTGAAGATAATTCTAAGAATCAACCTCCTCTTTATCATATTAATTGATTACCTGAGAGAATATCATGAATTGATACAAAGCATATAACTCTGTTGAAAGATTGTCATAAACTGCTTTGAATACTGCTATTATATTAGCAGATTAGGCTTTGAAGAATTCTAGTTAATAATCTTCATCATCAATATTTAGTTTAACATGCTCAATTAGTGCATCAATTAATTTACCTCTTATCAACAGTATCTGCTCGACAAAATTGAATCTTTCCTCAAACTACAGATACTTGAAGATTTACCTAGTCTTTTTAGAGTTAAGGATGAAATTAAGCATGCTTAAATTTTCTGGATCCTAAATTGAATGCTCAATCACCAATTCTATAATGATGAAGCAGATATCTTCATCAATAATTTTATTACTTATCACTGGATCTTCATAGAAATACCTTAACGCTTCTTCTTGATTATTTTGAACGATTAAGCTAAAAAGTCGATAGTAAGGGTTGATTGTTGTCGTTGTCCCTTCTAGGAAATCTAAAAGTTGATTGAGGTTGCATTTGGTGTTTTAGATAAGCATTTTTAACGCCGAAATATTATTCGTTAGAATTAGATATGGTATTAGATTAATACTCTCTCTTTCTTCTAAATGTTATTAATGATCCTCTGGCAATTCTTATTTAGCTATGAGAGTGTTTGCTAGATCGAAGCAAATATAGTTTTTGACATCATTACTAAACTCTTCAAATTTTAAGAGATTGTTTTAGATATTATGTAGAATTTATTATCTTGCTGATTCTCTTGCCTCATCATTATATTTAAAATGCATATCTCTTAGGATGTTATTGATAATTGAAATGTAAGTTATACAATCTTCCGAGCATTAAGCTTCGTCTACTATACTTATCTATCTCACTTATTAACTAGAGTCATAATTCAGATTTTCATCTGTATCCAAACCAAGATTGTAAAATAAATCCTCAAAGTCTTAAATTGTCTTGAAGATATATATTCTTTTAGAAAACCACAATTTGAAGTAATTAGATTCTAAAACTTTAAGTCTGTAAGGGTGATCATAATCTATATTAATGTGACTTAAAAATTGATCAAAGAAATCATCATTGTAGAATTGGCAGCCAAGATCTAGGGTGTATTGTAGAATTGATAGATCTTTGCTGTTCAACGCAACCTTCAAAGTAAAGAAGTGATCTAACTTGTGTCTTTCATCTATATTCATGCTATCTATATGAGATATTTGACAAATTTAGAACATCAAAGCCAGATTTATCTAATGATTTTCAACTAAATTCTAGACAAAGGTAAGCTTTGCATTGTTTATACCATAATTAAACAGGTTTAAGCTGTATTGTTCGATTTATAGATGATACTATTCTAGGTCTTATTATATTTATAGTTGTTCCAATTGATTTTCCTCAGATATTGATTGAAATGCCCTAACTTGATTGAATAAAGCTTCTGATACTTGAAGAATCTCTGGTAAATCATCTAGCAATTAGATATTTTCTTATAGCTATACTTGCTATTATACTTAAGCCTGCTCTATACCTTTTTATTCTTCGTCTATCTTTTTATGACTAACTTTCTACTTAGGTTTATTGAAAATATTCTTCCTACTCTATCTTTGATGTTTTAATCCTTCAAATTGATTATTTTTAGCTGGTGAAGATGATTATTCAATTGGTGGTGGTGCATCATCAATTATTAACTAAACATCCTTAAGTTCTACTGCGCCTGATTCTTTAAACTTTTTATTAATGACCGTCTTTCTTTTATTCTTTACAATTTACTCCTTAACTCCATTATCCTAAAGCAATTAAGATGGGTTTTCTTTAGCTTTTTCGCTGTTTCTTGGCTTGAATTATTACATCACGTCCTATTTAGGCGACTACTTTAAATGATCATCCTCCTTTTTCAACTATGCCTATTTTTCCTTATCAACTGCCTTACTTTTCTATTGCTATTCAGGTGGATGCATAATTGTTGGTTCCTCCAATATTTCTTCCTTCTATTCTATCTTTTCAGGATTCTAGTTTTAAGCCCCTTGCTAAGCTGGCTTATTTTGCTATTTATCTTTGTTTTCATCTTGATTCTTTATATTTCCTTGTTTTTAAGCAGGTTTTTTTGACTGACAGCAGCCCATTTATATTAATTTTAAATTGAAATAAACAAATACTTTTCCCTAGTAAAACTATTGTCTTAAAGGGGTTTTGGGGTTTTGGGGAGATCGGAAG